GATTGTTTCCAAAGTCCAGGAAAATTTGTCTTGCCTTGATTAGTTATGGTGGGGCTTTTATATCTCAAATCCTATGACCACCCCCCCACCCCCAACAAAGTTCCCTCCCTTCTTAAAGTTGAATTTTATATTTCGAGCATGTTCTCTGTGGTCTGTCCTTCGACAAATTGCCGCCTGTATTTCTCATCCTTGTCTAAGAATAGCAAGGGCAAAGTAAAGGGTTATCTTCCAATATATTTGTGGATACGAAAATAATAAGAGGGTTTCTGATTTGCTGAGTTACAGAGAAAGTGTTTGGTTTGGACAATTTTTTTGTTGGTGGCTGTTCTGAATCTGAGGAGAGAAAATTATAGTGTTGGTGTATGTTGTGTGAGGGCAGAGGAGTGGGTCTGGAGATTTTTGCGTTTATGTATGTGCGTATGAATGTGTCCATGAACATAATATACCTATATGAATGTGTGTGCCTCTACGTGCATGTTTGTGCGTATACATGAGTACATGTGTATATCAGTGACTGGGTATTACTTGGTAAATCAGAGAAACTTGGTAGTTCTTTGCATGAGCAGCGAAAACTTTGAGACAAAAATGCTTTGCTTTGTTTGCTGCTCCTCGTAATGGGCATATTTTTTCATCCTGGAATCTCTACTGTGTTGGAAGCGTGTGAAGCGAAATGCAGCTGAGCGATGAAAATCATGCTTTGTTGCAAGTTGGAGAAAGAACTTTTAAAGCTATGATTTTTGTTCAGATTATCAAATCATAAATCATATTTATGAAATTTAATGTGGTATAGAATGAAGGAATGAATGTTTGTTAGGTTGTTTGGGGTTGGGTTTTTTTTGTTTCTTTGTTGTTTTTTATCTATAGAAATTAATTGCACAGCTAATTTCTTTTGCAGTTTTCACCAATGGTGAGCAGGCTTTTCTTTCCTTCTTCTCCGGATAGTGGAGTCTAAAAATTGATCCACATTCCTTTGTTGTAAGTGTTGAATGTGGGTGGTTGGCAGGTGCTCTGGTGCCGTCTGCTCCTTCTTTCCAATCAAACATCTATCGTCTTCATCTCCCCTCCTTTTTTGAGTTTTGTTACTCTCTTGTAACACTTCTAATCTTCGGCACTAGTATGACCTTACTGAGGTTGCAAGTGCCGTAGGACACTTACTTTAAAACAAAAGTGTCAAATCAAATTGTCGTAGTATATTATGTTACATTTAAGTTATAGGAAGACAAAATGTTGTCTTTGTCTATTTGCTGTAATGGGACTTTTAGCTTTCCATTTTGATATTTTTGTGACAACCTCTTCCTTCGTGTGTGTACTTGTGTGTATGTATGTGTATACATGTATGTGTGTGCGCTTTGTGTGTGTATGTCTGTGCGCGCATGCGCATTCTTACCATAGCCTGTCACAAATCGCTCATTTTCCCATCTTTTTACCAGACCTGTGGTAGTTTCGCCTCATGCCATCGTCTTCGTCAATGTCAGATTTTATTTGATTTCCTTTACCCATTTCAAAGAATAAATCTATCGTTGATAAATCTACAACTTCTCAGTTGTGATGTTCTAGTTGATATAAGCTTTCTTCGTGTTCGTTTTTTTTTTCTTCATAACTGTTTAATTAAAATGTTTCAGTGGTTCAGTTGGGACCATGTTGGGCTATGGCCCTGGGTCGGGTCCTCAATGGGGCGCTTGTGAACTTGTGATGTTTGGAGAGTTTTTTTAATGAATCAAGTAGTCAGCCTATCTCCCCTCACTTGGCTTCATCCTTTTGCAGATGGATGATACATTCGAGAGAGTTTGTCCTCTGAAATGACCGTAGGCTTTTGAAAGGGGCATTAAGTACACTACAGCTATTGCCTCTTCTCAGGTTTTCGCCTGTTTGCAGTTTTTTGTGTAGTGAAGCAAGAGAGAGCGCAAAGTGAAATTGTCTTGTTTATATTTATCGTTTGTATTTACGGTACTGTACTTTTGAAGAAATTATGTGTTGTAAGAATATATATATATATAAAAGCATCGCTGACTATTTCTGAGCTGTTAGTACACTCCCTGGTTTCTTTGACTTTCAAATCTACATCAAATATTTTCTCAATATCACTCATCATTATATATATATATATATATATAATACATATAATATCGTACATATATACATATATACTATATATATATATATATATATATATATATATATATATCTATATAGATATATAGATATATATATATATATAGATATAGATATATATATATACATATATACTATATATATATAATGATGAGTGATATTGAGAAAATATTTGATGTAGATTTGAAAGTCAAAGAAACCAGGGAGTGTACTAACAGCTCAGAAATAGTCAGCGATGCTTTTATGTGTTGAAGAAACGTTGTTGTGTGTGTGTGTGTGTGGTAGCCTATCCGTTCGAAATGTTTGGAGCCCCGAAGAGCGTGCTCTTCGCCAGGGCCACCGCCTCCCTTGGGTAGCGGATGAGGCAGTCCAACCTCCCTGAATCCCCCCCCCGAAAATATGCCACCACCGGGCCTCCGTGGCGGGGCATCTCTGCAGCCAGTGCTCCAAATCTTGGGGTTCCTCGCTGCACAATGGACAGGTCGGGTCCGATGTTCTGTCTATTCTATTTTTGTAGGCCCGCAGCCCAGAGAAGTGACCGGTCCTGATTTTTGCCAGTAATGACTGGTCACTGCGGGACATAATAAGAGCCTCTCTTTTTAAGGAAAATGCCCGTTGTTGTTGTTGCTATTACCATTGCTGTTGTTGTTGTTGTTGTTGTTACCGTTGTTACCGTTGTTGTTACCGTTGTTGTTGTTGTTACCGTTGTTGTTGTTGTTGTTGTTGTTACCGTTGTTGTTGTTGTTGTTGTTACCGTTGTTACCGTTGTTGTTGTTGTTACCGTTGTTGTTGTTGTTGTTGTTACCGTTGTTGTTGTTTTTGTTGTTACCGTTGTTGTTACCGTTGTTGTTGTTTTTGTTGTTACCGTTGTTGTTGTGTAACTGATATTGGATGTCTCGGTGACTATTTCACTACTTGTGGGTACAGAAGCGAATGGGTGTGATTGTTTCTGTGTGTCTTTCCACCTACTCCTACCTTTTTAATCATGTCATTTTGTAAGATAGCGTGGATTAATGGTCAGTACTACTGGTATGATTGAGTGAATGTTTTTTAAGAAAATGTTTCAATTTAGGAGAGGGGGGGGGAGGAGGAGTGTTGCTTTTTAAAATCCGTTTTCCTGTTGTTTTTTAACAATTCTTTTGGGTAAGTGGGGTTTTTTTTTTTTTATGAGTGATGTAGATTGTTTGTAACTACTCTATTCCACCTCAGTCCCCTCCCTACCCTCTTTTTCTACTGCTTTTTTAAAGAATTCTAAATACTGTGGAAATTGTTCAAGATGGCCACCTTATTCTGGAGGAGAAAGTGGTTATCTTAAGCAGGTGGACGTCTTAGGCAATGTCATCTGTGATGCAGCGTGGTGGAATCAGGCTCTCATAAATTTTTGGGCATGTAGAGTTATTGGTATCATCTTGAAGCTTGTTCACTTGTCTTTTTTTGGATTAAAAAAATGTCCATTTATCTTGAATACAAGTGGAGATATTTGCCAATGAAGGAAGTGGGGGTCACCAGTTTTCAGAGGTAGTATTAGTGAGAAAATGGCCGCAAAAAATTATTTATTTCCTTAACTACATATGAGTCTGTGGTAACTGAAAATTTACCTTTTTTGTGCCTTTAATCAACGTTTTTCTGAAAAATCCACACAGAAATGAGTTCTTTAATGGGCATGAAAGGTGTTGAGCCAAAAAACAAAAATTTGATGAAAATTCACAGACCTGCGGAAAAATGCAGGTTTCTTTAATTTGATTATT